TATTTACATATATATAGATATATATTATATAATATATATATATATATATATTATATTATATTATACATAAACCCAAATGAATTAATTATATTTAAATTAATTAATTAATTTTTATCAATTAATTAATTTTTTATTAATTAATTAATTTAAAGGCGCTTAGCTAGTTCAAAGATACAAAAGCTCGTCTAACACCTAGGGGTTTAAAGTTTAGGGTTTAGGGTTTAGGGTTTAGGGTTTAGGGTTTATACCTGGAAGCAAGCGACGCAGATACAGCTGCTCTGACTGCCGCCGCAGGTGAGACATCGATAGGCTACATGCTCTCCATCCCAGACCTGAGGACATCTACTTTGCTGCTGTTTATTTGAAGATAGAGCAGCAACAAACTTTTCTGCTGCTGCTGCATGCGGAGTTGCTGCTGCTGCTAGCAGCAGCTGCTGCAGAGCTACGTCCGGCGGCAGCAGCACAAATACAAATGAATACAGCATCAACAGCAAATCATAATCTCCTAGCTTCACCCCTAACACATAACTCAGCAGCAGCAGCAACTCGCTGCTCACGCGGCTGCTGCTGCTGTTGCTGTTGCTGCTGCTGCTGCTGCTGCTGCGACATAATAAATCTTTTAATCGCTCGTTCAATTTATCTAAACCCTCTTTCCCTCTAAACTGCTGCAGCACTGCAGCAGCAGAAGGAAGATCAGACAGTTTGATGTCCACACCGCAATCCTGGTTCGCCTCCTCCTGTTGCTGCTGCTGCTGCTGCTGCTGCTGCTGGAGATACACCGCACAGGCCTCAGTCACAAACAACAGCCGCGCCTTTGTAATTAAAATTTTCTTAAAGGCAGCAGATCCAACAGCAGGACCGGAAGACAAACCCTTAAACAACGAATCCTCATCTGCAGCAGCAGCAACAGCAGCAGCAACAGCAGCAGCAACAGCAGCAACAGCAACAGTAGCATTGTGAGATAAGAAAGAAAGGAAATGATCGCTCTTAAGTGTGGGTGAGAGGGTTCAGCAGGGTCAAGACGCGGCCTCACCTGCTGCTGCTGCTGCTTCTGCTGCCGCTGCTTCTGCTGCTGCTGCTTCTGCTTCCGTTGCTGCTGCTGTCTCCTCTGCTCTCTGAATAAGGAAGCTGCTGTACGCATCTTCTCGTTCTCCTGCAGACAGCGGCAGGAGTGACATATCTTCTTCAAGCCCCACGCCTTCAGCAGCATAAGTTGCAGCTCTTGCTGCTGCTGCTGCTGCTGCTGCAGTTGCTGCTGTTGTCGTTCTTGCTGCTGGTGCTGTTGGTGCTGCTGCTGCTGCTGTTGCTGCTGCTGCAGCAGGAGGGGGCCCCTCGTCATCCACCTCCATGTGGCTGGGGGGCCCCGTAGGGGCCCCTGAAGGAGTCTCGCCGCTCATTGCTGCCTGTTGCTGACGAACCCTAAACCCTAAACCCTAAACCCTAAACCCTAGACCCTAGACCCTTGCAGAGACGCCTGCTTAGGTCACTGACTGTCCCCCTTGCGTCGGCACGAACAGCTATGCAGCTAGCTGGCTAGCTACATAGCTAGCCAGCTAGCTAGGCCCTCGCCAGCTAGCCAGCTAGCTAGCTAGCTAGCTAGCTAGCTGGTGCGCGGGCCCCCAGACCTTGACGGAGAAGCAAGGAGGATGCAGGATATGACGGGGGTGCAGCAGCAAAGAGGCTGAAATGGGTTTGCTGCTGCTGCAGCTCCTGCTTTACTTGCTGCTGCAAGTGCTGCTGCTAATGCTGCTGCTTCTGCAGCACACACGCAGCGCCTTCCAGCAGCAGCAGCACGGAGAAGAAAGTGCAGCAGCCTTGTTAATAATAAACTCGCAGCCTTTCTTGATGCTGCAGCAAACTGAGGAACCTTGACGGGGCCTGTATCCTTACCAAGGCAGCAGCAGCAGCTGCTGCTGCTGCTGTTGCTGCTGCTGCTGCTGCAGAGCAGGCAAGAAGGCGCAGTTTACGAAGATGGAGTAGCAGCCGCTGACTTGTGTTTATTCTGAGGTGTATGTACACCTCAGAAGGCAGCAAGCGGAGTGCAAGAGTTTTATAAACGGCTGGGGGGTATAATAATAGATTTTGTTTGCCGGGGTGTACGTACAGCTGAGATATAAAAATGCATTTCTCTGCAGTTCTTCCTCAATGCATTTGAATAACATCAAAAAGAAACAAATAAAACAAACAAACAACACTAAGACAAACAAACAAACAAACAAATGCCGCGCGGCGGGGCTGTTACTGCTGCAGCCCCCAAACCCGAGAGGTTTCTTATAATACCTTTATTACAACGCCGCAGAGAATAAATCAGAAAAGATATAAAAATATATTAATTAATTTATTTGTTAATATTATTTAAGTTTAAATTAAAAGATTTTCTTCATGATTTAAAACAACAAAAGGAGCGAAGCTGCACTTTCTTCCTTCTTTGCAGCCTCTTCGGTGGTTCGGCAATTTTCTTTTGCTGTTTTTGTTTGTTTTTTTCTGTTTTATTAATTAAAAAGAATACTTTTTGTTGCTGCCTCGCTTAATTGGTTATCTTCTTCCTCCTCTTCCCCAAAAAGGTGCTTCTTCCCGCTATATTTATGCACAATTATTCTAAGTTGTTGTATGCAGCAGAATAATTAAGGTAAGGTGTACATACACCTGGAAAACGGAAGAAAAACATTTTATACATTCAGTCTAAATTTAGTCACAAGGTTTTTATATTTTTTCGAATATTGCAGAAATACTGACATGCAAGTTCTCTGCAATTTAATTCTCCTCTTATTGCACTTTCCTGTGCCTCAATATTGAGGTGTACGTGTACGTACACCAGGTGTACGTACACCTGAACTAAACTAGAAGCTGTATATATATATATATATATATATCTGTATATATGTATGGGGATCCTTAACGTTTTAACTTTGAAAGGATTGGTTTTATTTCATATAATAAACATGAAATAAGCGAAAGAAAAATAAATTAAATAATACGAAATATATATTGTATATATAAATATATACAATATATATAATATATATATATACTTCTATATTTCTATATATATAGAAATATATATATATATATTTATACGTATATTTCGTATTATTTAATTTATTTTTGTTTTTTTCGCTGCTCATATTGCAGTTATGGCTGCAAACCAATGAAATGTCCTCGCGTTGTTCGGCCAGGGCGAGCAAAAGAAAAAGAAAAAATTACTCTGAATTAATTTAATTCATTTTACAGCCAATTAAATATATAAAATAATAAACACCTCCAGAATACGAAGAAAAAGCATTCAGTCAGTACCCTGTGCACACTGCCGCTTTCTTTCCCGATATATAACATATATAATAAATATAAATATAAATATATATATATACATATATATATTTACATGTATATATATATATATATATATCGTTGAGTGTGCGTACACCTCAAAGAGGCGTAGATTTGCTGATATTTCGCTGCCTTAATACGAGCGGATTAAGTGCACAAATAAACGAGAAAACAAAATACAGCACAGATAAACAGTTTAACCAAACAGACGAAAAGGCTAAACATGCGAAACACAATATATATAATATATATAATATGTATACTATATGCATATTATATATATTATATATATTATATAATATATATATTATATAATATATAAGGCGATAAAGTAGTAAATAGAAAAAGAAAACAAAAGGACGAAGCCAGCAACTACACTCAACAGATGAATAGATGAAAGATGCATGCAAAAGGAAAAGTATATGAATAAGTATAAGAACAAGGATGCAAGCAAACAAGAAGAGTAAACAAACAAAGCTAGCAAAGGCTTCATTGCCTAGTAGTACAGCGCATGCACCCAGTAGGCTTCCCTGCGGCTCTATAGCTATGAGGGTTTAATGACAGGTCCTCCATTTTTTCTGCTAAGTCTGCTGTCTCTTCTTCGTTGCATTTGTTATCTTTAAATGAAACAAAGCGTGTATTTCCTTTCTGCTCCTCGTGGTTGTTGTTGTTGTTGCTGCTGCTGCTGCTGTCTCTGCTGCACTCTCCCAGCCGCAACGCATAAGGGTCTTCGGGCTGCTCCTCTTCTTCTTCCTGCTGCTCCGCATACTCTTCATAACCCTCTGCAGCGGCACGGCCTGTAGGTGCTGCTGCTGCTGCTGCTGCTGCTGCGCCGCCGCTTCCTTGACGTAATGCACTCAGGCGAGCAGCCGCATCTGCAGCAACCAAAAAAACAAACAGACAGAAAATAATTAAAACTACAATATACACATACGTACATATATAAATATATATATATATATATGTACGTATGAATATATGCATGCATGCAGAGATATGTGGGCTGACATATGGGTATAATTATTTTGATTTGTTTTCTGTCTTTGTTGGATATGTTGGGTCTTTGGTGTAGAGGCGTCGGGTGTATATTCACCTGGAGTCATCGGCCACTGGGGAGCTCTTGCTTCCTCTGCTTGCTGCAGTCTTTGTTCTGCTGCAGCTGCACGTTGCTGCTGCTCTTGCAGTTCTTTCTTGCGGATGTTTACCTCCTCTTGCTGGCGATTACTGTAAACAACAAACATCAAAACAAACAAATAAATATGTTTTCTCTTTTCTCTTCACTTCCCTCAGTGCAAGCTGCTGCCGCAGCTTTCGGTGTACATACAGTTCAGCTGCTGCATGCATTTCAGGTGTACGTACACGTCCTAGTTTCATTTCAGGTAAATGTACATCTTTTGCAGGATTTATTTATTTCAGGTGTATGCGCAGTTTGTTGCTGTCAATTCGGGTGAATGTGCGTGCAGTTGCTGCCTCCGTTCGGGGTGTATGCGGAGTTATTCTGACTGTAATTATACAAAGAAGTACAGTGCATTTATACAAAGAAGCACAGTCAAAACAACTGCACATGCACCACAAACAGGGGCAACAAGTGCATGCACATCCACCTGTACATACACCTGAAAGGCAAGCAACAACCAATGAATATGCGCACCGGAAGTCGTGTCTGTAGCAGGTGGTCCAATCTCTAGGCCCCGTATCATCAACAGCAAAAAGAGTATCAGAAGAAGCGATATGAACAGGCTGATGCTTCCAGTTGCCCTTAGAAAAAGCAACGCTATACTCAGACGCCCAGGGACCGAAGGGGGCGTGAGAGGGCCTATCATCTGCTGCGGTGTACAGACGCAGCTCTTCTTTTGAACGGGGGTTCAAACGCTCTTCGTACCTGCAGCAAGCTCCACATACACCCGAAAAACAAACAACTTATGTACAGACACCTACACAGAAAAAACAGACGCAACAATGCTGAAGGGGTAGATGCAGCCAGCATATACACACAAATAAACAAAAAAGTAAAAAGCCAAATAAATAACAATACAAACAAACACTCAAACAAATAAACACACGGAAGAACAAACACACAGACAAACAAACAAATCAGCAAACGAATAAATAAACAAACCACAAAACAAACAGAAAACAAACGGGCGAACAAGCATAAAACAAGCAGAACACAACCGAATAAAAGCAAGGGGAGAAAGGTATAAAGCAAGAGAATGTAATAAGAAAGCAAAACGCACCAGTTATCGTTCAGACACATCGCGTTGTATGTACGACGGCCTCCTCGGAGTGCGTTGCTGCCTCTGAGAGAAAGCGCAGCAGGTATCTTGCCCCCAATGAAATTCATTTTGTCTTTGTTCTTTTGCTGCCCTCTTTGCTGTTGCTGCTGCTGATTTTGCTGCTTCATCGCAACGGGCCCCTCTGCTGCTCCCCGAGGCGGGAGAGAGTCCACTACTAACGAAGAAGACATTTGAGCTGCGTGCATGCAAAGGCTTTGCCTGTTTGCTGCTGCTGCTGCTGCTCCTGCTGTTTCTTGCTATGCAATAACAGCTGAATGGATGTCTGAGCGAAGAGATGCAAGTAGCGGGCGTTAGCGTTTGTTTCGGTTGCAACCTCAGGGCCAAGAAGAGGAGTAGAAGAATCCCTTTGTTTTGGCTATAAAGACGGACCTCCTTTATATTATCTATAAAAATAATAAAAAAAGAAGAAAAGAACAAGAAAGGCAAGCCGCGTCTCTTCTTCAGAGGCAGCACGGCGCCAACTTGAATTTTGCCTGCGAGCAGCAACCTGAAATGTGGCGACCCGTCGGTTGAGAGTTGGACTTGTGTGGATTCAAATAGAAGAAAAGAATCTCTTCATAAAGAAAAGAATAAAATTAGCTTTTAAAATACCGCATATGAAGACAAATCGATGAAGAAGAAGCACCGTGTCCAAGCCACAAGGCCGCTAGAAACAAACGCGATCTTCCTCTGCCCGCTGTGGCGTCGCCGCTTTCCCTCGGGTTTGAGATGGAAAATGTCTAAATTTGATATATTTTTTGCATTTTAATTATATTTCAACATTTACAACAATATATTACCGGTGAAAACAAAAAAATTAACTAAAATTATCGTGGGAAGAACAGCTGGGTGCAACAGCTCGGTCCATTCAAAGTAAGCTGAACGAACCGAACCATCCACAGGCCGTCGTGACGCCATCGAGAAATACTCCTCTTTTTGTTGCATTTGTTCCCCTGTAAGCTGAAACTAGAGAAAATAATTAAAATTAAATAAGTTTAATCCAAAACGAGGGAAAACTGCCTACAATTAGATTGATCTTGGCTATCATACAAAAGAAGGAAACCTCTCAATTACAGATCGAAACCATGAAATGCTGTAGTAAGCACGATGGAGTGTAAATAAACTGTGCATCTTCTCTTCTTATTCTCTGTGAATTCACGCAAATAAAACAAACAAAAATACTTCAAAAATTGAGTAAAGACACGGAATTTCTGCAAATTTCATACATTCGTGCAGTTTTCATGAAGAGCCGAAGTCGTCGCTTTCTGGCTGTTTCATCTGCCGGGTGTAGATACACCTCAAACGACGTGCAAAATATCTTCATCATGTTTCAATGAAACATCCATAATTATTCTATGTTTCCTTCTGGATGCAGTCTATTTCGCCTTTTTTTCTTATTCCATTGCTCATACAGGAAGACATTTTCTGCAGGGCCCATCGATTCAAACGGAGCCCATAACTGCAGAACTTCCCTGAAAAAAACTCACTCAGTCGAAGCGGCAACAACTTGCATCTTTTTAATTCCATTCATTTCCATATTTCGTGTGGGTTCTGCACAATATGAATATCTTTAGAGGCTTCCTCGAGACACAGCTTGCTCTCTAAGGCTCTCCTGACCCAGAAGAAGTAAAACCCATTGATTAATGCAAATCGTGTAAACCACAGATGAATGCAATGAGGATATCAGTGTGTATGTATCAGCTTCATCATAATGGCCCTCCAATAGGGACATATTCATAAAAGGGAGCAGGAGCGAGCAAGCGAGCGGCAAGACAAAACAACCATGCATGCATGCGTGCATGCATGCAGAGAGTGTATGCATGCAACACTTCCACCCATAATCTCTTGCTGCATGCATAAACTTCCTCTCGTTATGCATATGTCTTCTTCTTGTTGCATATAACTTTTGAGGTGTATATCCCTTTGCGTTGCCCACCGATTGAGTTTTAATAAGATTATTATTATTTATTATAATTATTTATTATTTTATTATTATCTTTATACCTTAAATCCTATAGCCATTGCGCGCTTTCACCTGTTAATATGCTGCTGTCTTTTGCTGCTGAATGCATGCAGCAAGCAGAGAAAAGAGGCAGTAAGCAAATAGGGCTGGTGTACACTTCCCTTCGTTTCTGTCTTTGTCTTGCGTTTATTTTAACGCAGTAAAGGGGCCCGCGCACGCAGCCCCAAACTCAAGAGGCTGGCGGCGACACCTCATGCATGCATGCATGCATGCATGCACGCATGCATGCAGCCAGCCCAAAAAAACTCGGGACAGCAGAGGAGATACAATATACATACATATATATAAAAATATAGATACTATATATATAATACATATAATATGCATATACATATATGTATAGATACATATAATATATATATAAACATACATACTACACATACAATATATATTGCATATACATAACATAATATTCATATACGTATATGCATACATGCATCTACATATATATATATATATATATGAGCATACAGATACTATATATAATACATATATTGCATATACATTATATACATTATATAATGCGTTGTGTATACTATATATAACAGAGCGAGACTCGCAAGAGGGAGATAGCAGCAAACCAACCGAGAAGGCAGCAACAAGGCAGCAGAAAAAGAAAGAAAAGAAAGCAGAAAAAACATTGAGGGGTATTTGTCTATAAAGAAGCTGCATCGTAGAGAAGAAGACGCCGAACAAAACAAACAAAAACAAAAAAACCAAACAGTTGTTGTCTTCGCTTGTTGCTGCTGCATGCAGAGAGATGCAGCCCCGATATTTTCTTCTACAAGCCTCTGTACATACACTGCGACTGTCTATTGTTTGTATGACGTCTTCTGCGGTGTATATGCAAGAAAAGAGTTTCTTTTGTGCGTATGTTTGGTGTGTATACACCAAGACAAAAATTAATGAAGACGAGATACAGTAGAATCCGCTGCACTCCTCTTCATTATCCCTTCTGTCGCTGGCTGCGCGCATCAATGCTGCTGCAGCTGCTGCGGCTGCTTCTGCTAATGCTGCTGCTACTTCTGCTGCTGCTACTTCTGCTGCTGCTTCTGCTGCTGCTTCTGCTGCTGCTGCTGCTGCTCCTTCTCCTCTTACTGCTGCTCTTGCTCCTGCTGCTGCTGCTCCTTCTCCTCTTACTGCTGCTCTTGCTCCTGCTGCTGCTGCTCCTCCTCCTCTTCCTCCTGCTGTTGCTGCTGCTGCTGCTGCTGCAGGTTCTACGGGGGTTGAGCTTACGACAAAACAACAACAACCCCACCGCTAGGCAACGTACGTGTACAGCCTCCTAAAAACAAATAAAACAGAGCCCTAAGACATTTCCATTAAGAAGAAATAGCAAGAGTTAACAAAAAACAAAAAGAAAAAAAGAAGTGAATAGGAAACAAAACTGCAGACACTGACAAAAACAAAAACTAAAAAAAATAAACAAAAAGAAAAAAGAAAAATAAAACACAAAGCGAAACACATCCTTTTTATCTACTTCCTTGTTAAAACAAAAGAAGTAATATACAAAGTCAATATACAGAGAAGAAAATGCACAGAAAGAGATACAGATAAGAGAGAGAGACAGAGAGAGAGAGAGACAAACAGTGGTGCAGCACCAGCTACAGCAGCAGCAGCAGCCGCAGCAGACTCAGCAGCTGCAGAGAACAGCAGCATCAGCAGAAGATAGAGGAATACAAACCAAGAGAGAAGAGAGAGCAGCAGCAGCAGCACCAATAACAGCACTAGCAGCATCAGCAGCAGCAGCAGCAACAACAGCAGCAGCATCAGCAACAGCAGCAGCAACAGCAGCAGCAATATTATACATGTCTCCCGGTCCTCTCTGAATGTATTCTCTGTCGATAAGCACTTCAATTCTGTTTTTAATTAAAGCAGCAGAAGGAGAAAAGCGGGGAGAGAGGTGCAGAGACACCGCAGCAACGAGATCTGCATGCATCATGCGGTGGCTGCTCTTTAATACCCTAACAATTGCTGCCTCTACACTGCAAAAGAAGAAAAAGAAAGAGAAAAAAAGAAAATAATAATAATAATAATTAGTAATAAACAATAATAATAATAATAATGCATTTAATAATACTAAACAGGAGTAAGAAATAAACAATGCAGATAAAAGACAAAAAATGCAACGACACACAAATCAAAACAAAAAAAAACATACAGATGCATATATTTAATATGTATTACTTATATACATATATGTGTATATAAGACATATGCATGCATATATATATATATATATTTATATATATATTTATATATATATTCATATATAATTT